TGAATTATTATGTGTCTAGGAGTTGGTATTCTCATTTGTTGTCTTGCAGGGGTTCTCTGAATCTCTTGTGTTTGAATTTTTGCTTCACTGATTAGATAAGGGAAGTTTTCTTGAATAATCTCATGAAAAGTTTGTTCCAGTGTGGTCTCTGTCTCTCTTTCTGCCTCAGGAAGGCCAGTTACTCTTAAGTTTGGTCTCTTGAAGTAATCGCTCATCTCTTGAAGGTTTTGTTCTGTCTTTTTGAGCTTGTTTTCTGTTTTTTTAACAGTTTGTGTTAGTTCTATATTTTAGTCCTCAAGCTCTGAGATTCTTTCTTCTGCTTGGGTAATTCTGTGTTATATTCTTTCAATGGTTATCCTAAAACTTCTGATTTTATATTTTTTTCTAAATAGATTTTATGTTATAGAGCAGTTTTTAGATTCACAGCAAAATTGAGCAAAAAGTTTCCATATAACCCCTGCCTCCAACATAGGCAAAGCCTCCCCTATCATCAGCATCCACCACCAGAGTGGTGCACTTATTAGACACCGTGAACCTACCTGGACACAACACTATTACCCAGTCCATAGTCTACATGAGGGTTCACTTGGTACACTTATCTTTCATTTTTTTTCTGTTTTTCTGAGCATCTGCCTAGAATCACTTTTCTTTCTGTCTTTTTCAATTCCTGACCACTCTCTTATCTTTACAAAGTAATTTTTCTTAATTTTTTAGTACTTTCATACTTTTAGAAAATTTGTTATTTTTCAGAAGTTCAAAAATTATTTTTAATGAGGGGATGGGTCTAAATTTCCCAGACCACCATCACTAGAAACAGGAGAAGTAGCATTTACTCTTCAATTATTTCCATCTTCCCCTGGAATCTCACTTCCTGTTATTAAACTCCCATCTGTCCTATGCCCCAACTTCACCTCCACACTATGTCCTTTCAACTTAGGGGTGTTTGTGAAGTACTGCCTTGTTCCCCTTATTTCCCCTCCTATTATGTCATTCTTCTGAGAATAGTTACCATTATGACATTCGCACAAGTATACACTTTTTTTATTCTGAAGAGATTTACCCGATATCTAACAAAAATACCTCATAACTTTATTTTCCTTGGACTTTTTTGGATAAGAATTTTTATGGAGGAATTTGAGTATTAAATATTTGAATTAAAGTCATTGTATTACCTAAAATTCTGTTGTTGATGTGCCTATCTCTATCTGTGTGTGTGTGTGTGCACTCACACTTGTGAACTTTCCTTGTCTCTACATAAAAATTTAACCTTGTTATACGTTTGCTAATCTCTATAGTAAGAGAGTGGTAACTGTTTACATTGTTCTTCAAGCTTGTATAATGCCTTCTGCTCTGTTGTGGTTTCAGATTATAATAACAGAAATGAATACTTGAGGTAGCAAAAGATTGAAGTTACATTCATTACTTAGTCAGTAAGAGAGAAAACACCCCATAGACCAGGCACATTTGCTCAAGTCATTATTCATTTCACAAGGTCTCATGACTTCTTTTCTGTCCATAGCAATTTCAACATAGAATAAACATCAATGGAACACTCAGTTATGTCTCCATCAGTCTCCTTTCTCATGCTTCTGCTCCTTACTTATGACTGACAGACTTGTGTACTACTTCAAGACTTCAGTTTCTTTTCTCTGTTTTCTTCCAAGATTGCTTTTTAAGAATGTCTCATCTCTTCTCTGTCATCCTCCTTACTAAATATCTTCTGATCCAGCCCTTCACTTTCCATTTTTTATAAACATCATCTCTTCTAAGAATTCTGAGCGTATGATTCTCTATTTATCTCATATTAAATGTTTTCTATAGATTTCCTTTTCATTTTCTTGTCTCAAATACTCATATAATGATCATGATCAAAATATATTTCCATTTTACTTGGCTATGAGTTTTCCAGGGGTTGCATGTCCATTAGGGAAAGGATAGATGGAATTTGCCCTAAATGAAGACTAGTATGATGTGTAGATGTGAATTTCTGATATCCCCAGTAGGCCCCTGTTCTCTTTCTTGCAGACTTCTCCATTGTGGTTGGGGTGCTGTTCCCAGTGGCGGTCATATTTGTGGTGGTTGCTATGGTAATCTGGCACCAAAGCACCAGAAGAAAGCAGAAAAAAGTTCAGAGGTAAGCCTTTATCTTGCTTTGAGGACTCTTATCCTTGTTTTACTTTACATTCAAGGATATGACCTAACCTTTCACATTTACTTTTGGTTCACTTCAAATACTCAGAAATGCATACAGATAAATTTTTAGATTACAGGCTGGGTATTCCTTTTACTAGGAAATTAGTCTTAGTGAGAAGCATGTCTTTTTCTTTTTCTGTTAGTCACTCTATTTATAATTAATAATGAGTGTTAATTAACTCCCATTATAAAATATTTTTGCATTATTATAAGAATGTATTATAGCTTTTATTGGTCACTAATAAAAACACAGTGCTAAGCCCTTTTATTTCTATTATCTAAATTAATCTCCACACAGACATCATAAGGTAGTTATTATTATTTCCATTTTACAGATAAAAAGATTTTGTTTATTATTATTTTTCATTAATCCTTACACAATTGTGCAAGATTGGAGACCACATTCTGACTGACATGGAAACAAACTCAGAGATGCTAGCAAACGTTTTATTTTTTAATTCTTGCAAAGTAAGTGATGAAAACTTGATTTGCACCTACATCTTAGAAACAAGGTTATAGCCGGGCTTGGTGGCTCAGCCTGTAATCCCACGCCTTTGGGAGGCTGAGGTGAGTGGATTGCCTGAGGCTGCAGGTTTGAGACCCGCCTGGGCAGTGAGACCTCATCTCTACAATAAAATCACAAAATCAGCCGGGCATGGTAGCACATGCCTGTAATTCCGGCTTCTTGGAAGGCTGAGGCGGAAGGATCACCGGAGCCCAGCAGGTCAAGGCTGCGGTGGCTTGGAGCGGCCACTGCACTCCAGCTGGGCAACAGAGTGAGACTCCAACTCAAAAAAAAAAAGAAAAAAGAAACAAGATTATGGCACAATAGCATTTTTAAAGACTGATTTATTCACTCATAATGAGTTTTTAATAAATAAATATTGAATAAATAAAATAAACCACCAGTTGAATGACATAATTTAGTTAAAAATTGAACTTAACACCACCATTATTAGGAATCAGGACTCTGTAGTAAATAAAAAAGAAAAATACAAGTGGTGACAAGGAAGGTGGCTAACAGGAAACTAAAGGATGAAGACCATACTAGGGAACAGATAAAAGCCCAACGAATAACCAAGAATAATAAAAATAGGCAAAGGGAATTGGAATCTTCTATTGAGTTTCCTCATCATGTTAAAGGAACTGCTAAGTCAATTTATATGATATATTTTCAATTACAGGCCACTGTCTATCACTGGCACTAGGCCACACAAACAGAAGAGGAAACCCCAGATGGTGAAGGCTGTTCAACCCCAAGAGGTGAACTATAGTTTGGACTGTGTTTACCATGGCTCCAGTTTACAGTTCTTTCACTCTTGTTTCCTGACCACCTATCTATCATTTCTATCCAGCAGTGTTTTCCATTTCCACGTCACTCGTTAGTATATAGGAAGGATTGTGGGCTCTGTAATTACAAATTCAGAAAATTATCCTTTGTCTTTTGTGAAATGCAAAAGGGAATCCTTAAAATGTAGAGGCTACTTTGCTGGGGTTCATGAAATGCAAACAGAATAAAAAGAACAAAGAGGTCAGATACCGGATGTCTGTCTGTCTATCTCTCTCTGTCTCCCTCTTTCTCTGTGTGTCTTTCTCTAATTCTAGGTTGATTCCTTGAGTCTTTGGCAAATTTTCCAATAGATACAAGAATATGTATATTTGCATGATAATATATGTAATATGTTCAACCCTTAATGCTCTGGTCATGTCCTTCAAGTTTAGAGATTTAGCTTAAGTTGGTTAATTATAATAACACTGGTTATAATGTCTTTGATGAAAACTTTTCCTTACAGCTCTGGGGAAATAAGTGTATAAAATATACCAGCTGGCCAACTCTGATTTCCTATCTGGTCTATTGCTGTCAGATATGTATCAAGCTCCCATTCCTTGAAAGGACTACTTACTTAAAAGCTGTGCTTAGGAAACTGTTGTTTCATTCTGAAATATTGTTTTTTCTTTTTAGATGAGTCAGATGAAGCTCCATGGTCCTGATCTCCTAGTAGAAGGCAATGGGCCTCCAGCTTCTCTTGTGAGTCTGCAACTTCTTTTAATGACCGCCCTATTCAATCTCAAAAGGAATGAAAGATATAACCCACCTGCCCGATTATTTCTCCAGAGGAATTTCTAAACCTGTGTGAATATTAATACAAAATATAAATTCTTCTGCAAAACATTTTGGAAACAGAAAATCTGAGAATGTATGTCTCTCTATTACATTCCTCAATTTAGCCCCTAAACCTGAACTCCAGGGCTGGCAAGGTGACAACTCATTACAAGAAAAGTATCAATCTGTTTAACAAAGCACTATCATTTTAGTCAGTTCAGGCTAATGGAGAAAAATACTGGGGGCCTTTAGACAACAGAAACGTATTTCTTACAGTTCTGAAGGTCAGGAAGTCCAAGATCAAGGTGCTAGCAGATCTGATGTCTAATGAGGGTCTGCTTTCTGGTTGTACACAGCTGTCTTCTCAAAGGCAGAGAGAGAGAGAGAGACCAACAGAGAGAGAGAGAGAGAGCACTTCTCTCGTGTGCTATCTTGTGTCTCTCTTAAGGACATTAATCTTATTATGAGAGCTGTGCCCTTATGTCCTAATTACCTACAAAAGACTCACCTCCAAACACCATCAAACTGGGGACTGCTTCAATATAAGAATGTGTGGGGAGGACCCAAGCATTCAGTCCGTAGCAATCATTTTCATCACAAAGCTATTGACATTGACCTAATGTTTTAATTGTATGTGTGCACCTAGGTGAAAGTAATCAAACTCACACATTTAGAATATTCTCAATTTCTAAAAGTGATTTAAGCTTTTACTTTATGCAGACCTCTTTTGGGAGCCTCTTTGAATTTAAAAATTTTGTCTTTTTATTAGTTAATTACAAAACCAGATTTTCCACCACCACCAATTCCTACATCTGTATCATCTTCTTTTCTTGTAAGTATCAAATGGTTACTGGTATTTTTTTTAGTGTTTCTTGTGCCAACTAAGAATATTGTCTCTAAATCTATGGAATCTTTACCAGGACGTGTGCTCCAGAGGCTGAACTGAAGTATTATATTACATTTGTCCTAAGGATATCTGAAAAAGCAAGGCATACTTACTATCTGCAAACTAGCAAGAGTATTGATTTTTTTTATTATGAAAATATAGTTCTATGTTATAAAATTATTGAGAAATAATAAATAGTTCTGCTATATGAGATTAATGTCTCCTCAAAGGATCACTTCTAGATCCTTATTTTAGATTATACAAAATTTTATTACAAATAATATTTTAATTTATGTTATAGCAGAATAAGATCTATCAATAACCACAGTTTTTTGTAGAAGGTGGGGTATAAAAAAATAGACCATATACAAGCAAATCTTGAGTAAAAGCTAAGAGCTCATGAAGTAAAAAGTAGAATTCGTTCACTCATTAAATAGATCTGAGCATATTCCTCATACTTGGTATTCTGTTGTAGACAAATGAGAAAGAGCTAAAATTTAAGTTCATTTTTTTCCCCCAAGAAATTTTACATTTTTTAGTGAGAAAATAAGTCATATACACATGGAGTACTTAATTCCTCAAATATGACTTGTGCCAAAGTGAGTAATACTAACAAGAAAAATATGGTGAGGAGAAAATAAATGGAATCGGAGTGGTAAAGTAGGAAAAGGATATATTCACTGGGTAATAGGAGTTTGAACTGGACTCTGAATTTGGGTAGAATTTAAATGAGTGAAGAAGAGGTCAGTACTAATTTCATTAAACACATGGACTTTGCAGCAACCTGGATGGATTTAGAGTCGATCATACTCCGTGATCTATCACAGAAACAAAGAACAGAGTACCATAGGTTCTCACTCATAAGTGGATCTTGAGCAATTATAATACTATAAGAAAGGAATTGGCAGTAGTGGGAAACTGTCTGGAGGGGGGTGGGATTGGCGGTTGAGGGAAACTGCTAAGGGAGGGAGGGACATACCTCATCGACAGGGGTACATGCATAATCGTTTGTATACTTTACCCTGAATTGTATCCCACATCTTTATAATAATAAATAATAAGGAAATAGGCATAGCCAAGATGAGAAAAACATAACATTTCTAATAACTACTATTATTTTTGTATCTTATGCAGCATAAAGACACAAAAGTACTTCCCTCTACTGTTTTCAAAGATAAACAAATATCCACATATCAGGTAAGAGATCTATAACCTAATTATCATCATTTTGTATTGTAATATCCTTAGTTCAAGGAGAGAAGTTCCACCTTGTCTTCTTAGAAGTTTACTAACAGCAGTATTTATATGATGGTAGGATGGATGCTAACATGAGTGCCTTGCTTCTGAGTTTGGCCAATAACCAACAGGGATGTGGAAGGGTCATATGAAGCTGTGATGGCCCCAATATTTTCATTTTCTCAGAAATATTTCTTTTTTTTTTTTTTTGAGTTGGAGTCTCACTCTGTCACCCAGACTGGAGTGCAGTGGCCGCTCCCGGCCACCGCATCCTCGACCTACTGGGCTCTGGCAATCCTTCCACCTCAGCCTTCCAAGTAGCTGGAATTACAGGCATGCACTACCATGCCCGGCTGATTTTTTTTTAATTTATTGTAGAGATGAGGTCTTGCTGCCCAGGCGGGTCTCAAACCCGCGGAATCAGGCAATCCACTCACCTCAGCCTCCCAAAGGCGTGGGATTACAGGCTGAGCCACCGAGCCCGGCTGAAATATTTCTTAAGAATGAATATTCCATAGGAAGAAATCTCTCACAGACTAATTAGCATTGCATCCCATAACTCTTCTCCTGGTTCTCTACCCTCTCCATATTATGCTAATTTCCCAAATGGATATTTGAATCCCAGTGTGGTATTTTTCCTACCTTCCATCCCTACCCTCCTGTGTTCTCACTTCTTCATTGTTGATTATCAAATAACCTATAAGATAGGCTCTATGGCTTCAGATATTTTATTTTAATCTCTTAATAGTTCAAAGCTTCATAAAATAGAATATCTAAAGTTTTGAGAAAAGATGATAATTTAAGAGTTTTATCTTTTTTAGGGCTCAAATCCAAAAGTGTGAAGCAACAGCTAAGCAAGAATTGATGGGGAAATGATTAACTTGGAAGAGTGGATGAACTGGATGGAAGAGAAATACACCTCTTTTCTCACTACTATTTGCTCTTGACACTTAGGAGGTTAACATTTCCTGATTTATGTTATACTTTGATGATATTAAATAAAATCTTTCAAGAGGGGCATACCCTTGAGAATCTGTGTATGAATTTGAGATTTCTACTCTCCATACTCACAGGAAGAAACATGACTCCACAGAAATATCTATGAAGCTTAAATCTCTAATTAGATTATTTTTCCTAGATATCCCCCTTTTTAAAATGATGTTGACTAATATTTTTTCTAGGCACCTTGATTTGTTCATTTGATAGGAACTAATTTGCTCTTTAATAAAAACAAGAAAAAATATAATAAATTGGGAGGAAAAAGAGAAAAATTATTACATTCATTATTAAATGAGTAGTAACGTCTTGATTGTTTTAACCATTAATTTGCCAAATATGAATCTCCAGTTAAGAAGAAAGTTATGTGAACATATCTGTGCTGTACAATGTGCCTCTTTTTTACATTATCTTCTACAATTCTTATTAGCTATGTCATTTTGAGATTTTCTACAGTTGAGTAACTTTATTCATTTTAAAATGTTTCATCATTGATATTTATGTAATTCAATTACTGGCAGGGTTAAAGTGGACTTCATTTTCTAAAGAAAGAAAATTGCATTTAAATAAATTAGTAGCATAAACCAGGGGTTGCAAAGTGGTGACTTGCAGGCCATGTTAGGAATGCAGATGTGTTTTATTTCATCTGAATGGTGTTGGCCATAGAGTATGTGTAAACATTTTGAATGTATGCTAATACTTAAAACTTGGGAGATCTTACATAAACATCCAGATTTCCAGCTTAGTCAGATGTAATAAAAAAGTAATCAGATGCTTTGCCAACATTGGAGTCATATTGTCCATAGCAACCGACAGCTTAGTTGATGGGTAGTGGCCTACCAAATATCCCCCTCATTCCTGGCTTTTAGGACCTCAATTTTGTTTGCTTGCCACTTTTAGGGAAGAATATTCTACCTCCGTCTCATGAATAAATCCTTATCCCTTTAAGTCAATCATAACAGGAATCCTCACGTTCCTTACCAGTGGTTATTTTGGAGGCCAGTATATATAATAACCCTTTTGTTCCCAATGAGATGAGAAAAGAGGTAGGCTGGGAAATTTCTGGAAATTTTTCCTCATTCATTCTTCTGAAGGGTTACATGTGACTATTCTATGTGTTATTGCTACATCCATGCTGTAATAATGAAGGCAAGAATGATATACTGAATAAGATAGAGCAGAAAGATGAAAATAATAAATCCTAGACTTTTAATGATGTCATTGAACCAGTAGATTAGTAACTGTTGGAGTCACCTCACACTTTGTTGAGACTTCTTGTTGCCTTGTTAAAGCCATTTTGAGTTGGGGCTTTCTCTCACACAAAAGACATTCTAACTAATAAAGGATTGTTTCCATAATCAGGGCTCCTGCTTTCCACTTTGTCATGACTAGTATAGTTTTCCTTACACGTGTCTGCCTCATCCATTCCCATAACTGGTGGCTACAAGTCTGTGTTTTCATGAAGTTGATTTACCCAAGTAGTATGAGGACCAGAATAAATCCTTATTTCCTATAAGGCTATCATCCACTTGTGACCAGCCTGTGAATATTTGCTGGTTTTTTGCTTGTTTGTTGTTTTTTATTTTGATTCCTGTCCCCAGTCATAGATTTACTTCATTCTTTTTAATATAATGAAACAAAGATCTTGAGCCTATGAATCCTCAACTAGTCACCAAGCTAGAAATAAAGCATTTACTCTCAAGGAGGGACATATAAACATTCCAGTGGATTCCTAAATGATATCACTAGGTTCCTGATGCAGAGATATCATAGAACCTTTATGAAGATAGATAACTGGAGGATAACGACAGAAAAACTTCTTCCCTTTTTTTATAAGACTTTGAATCCAAGCCTCACAACGATTCCTTTTGAGCTGAGCTGCAGAGCAGTTTAGACAGTTTAGAGTGAACTTTGATCTCACAATACTATTTCCAGACTTATATCTGTAACTTACTAACTTTAAAGAAATTCCACTTATTTGGCACTTAACCACTTCAGGTATGAAACCATGCTTGTTTTTATCATGAGTTACTTTTACCTTCTACTTTTTTTAAACAGGTTAAATTATGTTCTTATCCAGGTACTATATGACTGAGATTTCACATGTTTTTTCCAAATACTTCTTATCACCTCACCAAAGTACTGTTTTTATATGAACTTTTGCTTTTAATTTTGTACAAAATATTGAAGTATGTATAAAAAGAAAAACAAGTTTTTGTTGGTTGCAATCAAATAATATGGAAAGAGTTATTCTTTTAATATGCTATTATTCATGTTGGTAATAACGATCCCTACATGATAAGGAACTTAGGGTGGGCTCTGGCCAGTAGGCAGGGAGGAACTGGTCCCCTCAGTCCAACAACCCTTGGGAATTGAATTCTGCCAACAACCACAGAATGAGCTTGGAAATAGATCCCTTCCTAGTTGGATCTTGACTGCAGTCTTGTGAGACACCATGAAGCAGAGGATTCAACTAACTTTTACCCAGATTTCACACCCAAAGAAATTGTAAGATAATTAATATGTGCTCTTTGAAGCTACATGCTTGGGAGTAATTTGTTATACAGCAATAGGTGACTGATACAAAGAGGTATGGAGCAAATGTTTCAAATGTTCCAGATAGGTTTAGGTACAGTTAACCACTATAGTTAATAGGTTTTTATCAATGAGGAAATTTTATTTTCTTCCTTTCACTGTTTTTCTCTTCTTTAGCAGCTGAAATAGTCTGCTTGAGGTCTCTGGTAGCCAGTCTTCTTGCTTATCAGATTCTCTTTCACTTTGTCTGCTTCCTTGGTATTTTTGAACAGTTCCTTAAACTTATCTTCCAAATTACTGATTTTATGTTTTATACTGTCAATCCTCCTCTACTAATTTTAAGGTGTCTTATAATTATTTTTTAATTTGCTTAATAACTTTCTCTTCTTTCCTTTCCCAGTTTAGTTTTATAAAGGCTGACCGATTAGCTCTTTTTGCATTTTGTTTCTAGATCTCATTTTAAAAATTAAATTAACAATGTAAACTCTGTCAAAATTTTATAACTTATTTTTACAGTAACTATCTTTCCAAAGTACATCCTTTTTCAGCCACTTAATTATGTTCCCTGTCTTTCACGTTTGTGAAAGACTGTTATCTCATGGGTGTTATATCACTCCTTTCAAGTTGGCTCATTCCTATCACTAGTAATATCAGACTTGTAATATCTTCACATTTTATGTTTTGGTCATAAAATCCATATCTTGAGATTAAGTGTAAGAATATTGGTACTCTAGTGTTCTGATAGTAATCTGAAAGCAGTTGGTGCCATGAGCAGGTCTTGCATATTCTTCACTGCCTAACTTTTTTTTCCTCTCCAAAGTGGTTTACCAGGGCCAGGCCAGGAGTGGCACCACCATATTGGAGATACTGAAACCCACTTCATCAGGGAAGACACTGGCTCACTAGGGAAAAGCCTCAGTAACAAAATCTGCAACCATGCTGGCATGTCTACTCTTGAATTCACCTCATGTATTTTGCTGCTTCCAGAAAAAGGCTTTCTCCTGGCAAAGGCAACTTTAGACACTGTTTAGCAACCAGTCCTGGCCAGTCTGCTACAGTGTCCAACACTAATACAATACTACTATTACTATTATTATGCTAAACAAATAATATTGTTACAGAAACTAAATCCCTAACACTTAAAAATTATAGTCTGTAATTTATTGTGAAGGCATCTTCTTGTAAACATTAAACTTCTCCTCTTCCACATGTCGTATTAATGTCCACACTTGTTGGGATACATCTGGCTTTTTAATATTAAATTGTGAAGTCTTTTATGTTGTTCTCACTTCACAGTAAGATAAAAATATTTGCAACTTTAAATAGTTTTGCAAAATCAATGTTATCTTCCAAAAATAGCAAATGTACAGCATTTATTAATTTTATTCTATAAGAAAATGTATACTTAATGTGGGAAATTTGGTACACAAGACAAAGCACTAAGACAAGAAAAAAAATTTCCCTAATCTCACTCTATAAATATGATTAATATTAGCATTTAGGAATATGACTATTTATCTTTATTTTTTCTGTCTGGTACATAATTTATTTTTTTTACTATTTTTTATTTTTTTTGAGTTGGAGTCTCACTCTGTCGTCCAGACTAGAGTGCAGTGGCCACTCTCGACCACCGCAGCCTTGACCTGCTGGGCTCCAGTGATCCTTCCACCTCAGCCTTCCAAGTAGCCGGAATTACAGGCGCTTGCTACCATGCCCAGCTAATTTTTTGGTTTTTATTGTAGAGATGAGGTCTCACCTGCCCAGGTGGGTCTTTAACACGCAGGCTCAGGCATTCCACTCACCTCAGTCTCCCAAAGGCGCGGGATTACAGGCTGAGCCACCGAGCCCGGCTGCTGGTACATAATTTAAATATTAGTTTATTCTTTGCACTATTCTGCTATTTCAAATTTTACTTAGAAATATGTTACAAATTATTAGGATCATATACATGGCTGCATAATAATCTATTTAACTAATGCATCAAGCTGTACCTAATATCTTATTCAACAATGACACATTTTTTTCCAAAATGTTTACAGCTCAAATATCGCAGTGGTAGACAGTCCCATACATACCCTCTCCAGGCAGTTCTTTGTATTGCAGTTCAGTTTCCTGAGGAAGCAGAATCTGAGATGGACTCTAGCAAGCAGGGAGCTTATTAGAGAGTGCTTTTAGGCCCATCATTTGTGTGCTGGAATAATAGGAAGCAAGATTAGGCAGAGGGAAGAGTTGGGCTTGATGCTGTCTCAGTGAAGGCTTTAGCTGACCCATCCCAGCGCCGAACCTGGAATAATCCTTCAGAATGGAGTCAAGTGGGGAAAAGGGGGAAAGCCTTTATTCCCTCATGTCAACCAGTCATAGGTACAGGCTGCTCTCAAAAGGGATGTGACCTGGGGCAAAATGACTTTAGCTAGTGGAAGCATTTTCCAAGGAAGGCAAAAGACTGTCTGCAGGCAGCACTGCCAACAATAGGGAGAATATGTCCTTTTTG